AGTCAATGAGGGCTAAAATAAAATGTAGAACTTTTGCAGATATATATGGGAATGTAGTTTGGATAATAAGGCCCATCAGAAATAGTAGAAATAATACATATGTAGTATGAACAATATTCCTTCCTTCTTATAATATTAACATTAATAAATATTCTTTATTGTCTCTCTTTCCCTGAATAGCTGCATTCACTGTGTAATATTAAAAATGTGACAAACTGCAACAGCTTAAATGCTGTCTATTTACTTCTGACAATGTGTGTTTTCCTTTATTCTGTGTCATATACACACATAAATGTGGATTTGTAGGACAAAAGGCTGCATGCTGTGCTGTAGTCAGTGCTGACAATATTTCTGACTGTTATCTCTGAGATAATCCACTGTTGTTTTTTATTTCTTGACAAAAAGTTCCTTGGTTTTCCCTCTTGAAATCTTATTTACTAAAAAGGCTTACATAATGTGCAGCGTGTCTGTGGTATATTGCTGGCTCTTGTCTGTCACATAATCCACTATAATTTTTATTTCACAATAAAACCTGCTTTGTCACCCCCTCTTCAAATGCAGCCTACTAAAAAGACTAACGCGATGGTTAGCATATCAGTAGGATATTTCTGGCTTTTGTCTGTGATATAATCCACTGTAAATTTATTACACAATAAACTCTGCCTTGTCTCTCCCTTTTAGAATGCAGCCTAGTAAAGAGGGCTATTGTCATGTACAGCTGTAAATTATGGGCTCACTGTGCAGCCTGAATGCTAGATGGTAGCATGCTTGAAGCGCAGAGTCTAAGGAATGCCTATTATTTGCCACTCTCAAGGTGTTATAGGGTTTGCTGTAGGGAGGCTCCCATGTCGAGGCCCTAGAAACACTAGTGCAGGATCCAAATGACCAGATACACAAGCAACACATAGCAAATACAGGAATCTCTAGAGGTACTGGGTTACAAACACACACTAGACCACAAAATAGGAACAGTCTTGGAAGCCCCAGGGTAATGTACTCACAGGAGGATAGGAGTGCCAAAGTCTCTAGGAGCACTGAGGTGGTGGGAACACAGGTGTGAGACCCTCTTGCAGCACTAGAATTCTAGAAACACAAGGAGAAAGGTGTGTAGGAATGCTGAGAGCTCACTAGGAGTACACAGGGGACACAGTGGCAGGGATGCTGGAAGCTCTCTGGGAGTACACAAGAGTGCTAAGGACCCTGAAGCTAAGAACACTTCCCATGTACTGACCTTACCTGCCTGTTTGTATTTGCTTTTCTGCCACCTACCCTAATCTCCCTGGCCTGTATCCTGCTTTTCTTTTGCCTTTGCCATGTCACAGTTTGCTCCAGTGATGACTGCAGTCCTGGCTCATAGTCTGATTTGCAGTTAATTTAATACATTCCTGTACTGGGGGTGTGTAGTCATGCTATTTGGTCTGGTCCTGTATTTCCTCCTGTATGCCAATCTTTCTTGTTTCTTCCAGCTCCTGTGTGCTCCACCATCTTATGCCCCTCTCTGCAGCATAGTTCCTGTCTACACTGCTTCCACTAGTACTCCTCTGCACTTATCAGCTGTGGCAAATGCAACTTTGTCTCCTCACTTATTAATGAAAAGTAAACCTAGGCTTTTTGATCTAGAGTCAGCATGCAACTAAGTCTAAATCTCTATATGAGGGTTTTGGCAGGACATCGTCTATCACCTAAAGACTCTGCAACCTGGGAGATCCCACATCACGTTCTTACATATTGGTTCTCTTCATTCATAGTCATGAATCTTCCCTAATGTATTCATATAAATATGACTCACTTCTATCACAATTCATGACTGACCTTTCCAATCTAGAAAAATTTTAACTTTCTTGGCCAGGCAGATTAGCAGTCTTTAAAATGATAGTTTTACCTAAAATGCTTTGTCTAATCTGCACCCTACCAATTCCTCCTGCCTAGAATTTCTTTTCAACTTTTACATTTGCTCCTAAATAACTATTTAGAGTACAATAAATGACCAAGGTGTGCTCACTCAACGTTAATGAAACACAAATGCTTAGATGGAATGGGTCCACCTGAATTTAGCAATTATTACACAGACTCATTACTTGAAAAACTTAACTACTGGTTCCAAATATCAAAAGACAAACTATGGAGTATGATAGAACAATCAATGATACCATACCAAAATCCTAGCTCCTTCTTTTTAGCCTCCACTTTAAAGAACCTAATAATCCCCCAAATGCACCAGACTATAAAAGCAGCAGATGAGTACTGGGTAATGCTTTATTACCTACCACTGACTTCCTTGAGATCTTTTTATCCATAAAAAAGATTTGAACATTTGATAACTGACCTTACCCTGTCCCACTGGAAAGAACTATATACACCATTAAGGACATACTCCCCTTTAGAACCAGATCTGAAGGAACAACATTTTTCTTCGAAAGAATGCTTCAAATGTCTTTGAATTCACCACTACATCAAAATTTAATACACAAATCACCCTCCTATTGAAATAGGAAGAGACTTTAGAGAACATTTTCGAGGCTCAATGGAAACAAATGTAGGGATCTGCTTGTTTCTGCTGTCAGCTGCTAGTATCACACTAAAATGTAAAATTATGTATTTCACTTCCTGACTCGAGTATTGCTGAAAGAAGATCCTGGAAGGAGGATGTGGAGAGAAAGAAGGTCTCAGCCACATGTCTTGTCCATCCTACTAATACCATATCAGAAGATACAATTATGCAAGTATTTTTTGTTTTAATAGTTTAACTGCAGCTGCCCATAGCTTCTTGAGTGTATTGCTGAATCCTTGCGACAGAGTATCTCTGTCCTATTACTATCTCATAGGCACAGTGCCAGCTAACTAGGACTGCATTCCACATTGGCTGGGTAATGGCTGGAGTGTCTCCTCATAACTGTAGTTCTTGTTTTTAGGTCTCCCACACAAAGACATACATATGTATCATCCTCAGAGGGCCCTGCAATGGGACTTTGCTGCAACATTCATATGGAGATATCTCTATAAATAATACCTATTTATAGCTGCACAATTCCACCAAAACTCCTATTGGGCCCTTTGCTGATAATATCTGTTTGTACATTGAGCCTGGGTTCACACTGATGTGGTGTGGAGTTCGCAGCGTTTTCTGTGTGAATTCCACACCGCATCTGAATTGCACCCTGTTTATGTGAACCGCTGCGGGTGTGTATGTTAGATTAACAACACCCCGAAATTGGTCCGCAAAATGTGGTGCAATGTGCAGAATCAGATCGCATGGGTGTGAAAAAAAAGGGTCCCACACCTTTTTGGTGCGGATGCAGTGCGATTTGAGCCATACAAAATGTATGGCTCCAATCGCACCGCACATAATTCACATGTGATTTGCACAGGAATGCAGTGCGGTTCCTGTTTGAATCACATGCGATTTACCGCACCACATATGTGTGAACCCAGCATCAATGTATGTGTATGAATCTACATACTTATGGTCAATGTTATATGCTGGATTCAGCAGTTCTTCTGCTTCCAATTACTTTGATTAGATTACTGGTTGATTTCCCAAGAAGGAAAGCTTTTATGTTCATGGAAGCCCTGTCCTGGGTGGAGGTACTGTCAACTTTATTTCAACCTCATTCTTCCTATCCTGTTTGGTCAGGGCCATTTCTCATAACTTCTCAAAAGAGGGCTGCACAAGCGCTAAATAAATGCAAACCACATGGACATTTACCAGAAAATAAATGTTTTTGTGCATTCTTTATTTTTTTTTTCTAGCACAAACAATGATACATCATGGTGAATTTTGTTACATGTACAGTGACCATTTATGAAAGCAGTACCAAATCCACTCAGTTAAAGCTTGTAGCCGTACATTTTATGTAGCAAATAAAGGCCGATATGAGTGTCTTCAGACTCTGGTTAGCATTTAGAAGATTTTCAGTTAAGTGGAGGTACCATGGCCCACTAGATCAGTTGTATGGGATTAAATTGTTGAGGACAGGGGACACTAAAGGGTTGATTTACTCCAGGCAAATAGACTGTTCACTTTGAAAGAGGAGTTGCACTTTGCATTGGCATTTGCCTTAGAACTTAGTAAATGTGGTGAAGCTCCGGGCTGCATTGCAGTGCATTTGTTTTCTGTGCGCCCTAGTGGTGACTGGCGTTCTTCCATTGCAGAAAAACACTGGTGACCACACTATATCTGATTGGACACTTAGAATTTGCGCCATCTTCCCTGGTATGTCCCACCTCCTCATAGCTTATGTCTGTGCTCTGTGCTGTAAATTACATATTAAAAATGGCCCCATTCTGTATAGTGTTCTGTATGCTAGATACTCTAGACCAGGGCTTGAATTTTCGCTCGCCTGCTTGCCAAATGCGAGCGGAAATCCCTTTGTGGCGAACACAGATGGAGCGGGTGGCTTGCAATGGAGCGGGTGGCCCCCGGGGATCGATTTGCATTGCTTTCTTTATTAAATATTTGTATTTTGTCTTTTTGGCATTCCTGGAAATATGGAGATATCTATGCAGATGGAGCAAACAGTCCTTTCTGATTATATATGTGTGTGTGTGTATATATATATATATGTGTGTATGTGCATGCAGAATGTTTACTATTGTTATTTATTTTATGCAATGTTTTTTGGCCATCAAAAGAGGCTCTTTTTTCTTAATGCCACACTTCTCTAGGGTGTCTGCTGGAGATAACAAATACAACATGTTTACAGTACCTATTATTCCATGTTTTTTGGCATCAAAATAAGCACTTTTTCTTGTGCTATAATACTTCTGTAAACTAAACTTACATCCTTTAAAAGACTTTAGTTATTAAAGTCTTTTTAACCACTAACCTACAAGGCACTTATACCCCTTTTCTGCCCAGGCCAATTTCCAGCTTTCAGCGCTGTCACAATTTAAATGACAATTGTGCGGTCATGCAACGCTGTACCCATATAAAATTTTTATAATTTTGTTTGTGACAGATAGAGCTTTATTTTGGTGGTATTTAATCACCTCTGGGTTTTTTATTTTTTCTTAAACAAACCAAAAACCACTGAAAATTTTGAAAAAAAAAACGTGTTTTCTTAGTTTTTGTTATAAAATTTTGTAAATAAGTGATTGATGTTTCTCCTTTACTGATGTGTGCTAATGAGGCTGCAGTGATGGACACTGATAGGCTGCACTGATGGACACTGATAGGTGGCACTGATGGTCCCTGAAGAGGAGGCACTGGTAGGTGGCACTGATGGGCATTGACAGGCATCACTGATGGGCACTGAAAGGCATCACTCATATATGGCACTGATAGGCGGCACTGATATGTGGCACTGATAGGCGGCACTGACTGACACTGTTAGGCGACACTGATGCACACTGATAAGCGGTACTGACTGGCACTGATAGGTGGCACTGATTGGCAGCACTGATAGGTGGCACTGACTGGAATTGATAGGTGGCAGTGACTGGCACTAATGGGTGACACTGAAAAGCAGCTCAGATGGGCACTGATATGTGGCATTGATGTGCACTGGTAGGCACTGATATGTGGCATTGATGTGGCACTAATGGGCATTGGCAGGTGGCATGGATGAGTACTGACAGCTGGCACTGATGGACACTGGCAGGTGGCACTGCTGGGGCTACACTGATCATCAGGGCACACTGAAAATCAGTGCCCTGATGATCAGTGCACATGTCTCCTCTGAGGAATGCCGATTACCGGCTCTCCTCTCTTCTCGAGCTGTCAGCGTGACAGCTCGTGAGGAGAGAAAAGCTGATAACAGTCATTTCCCTATTTACATGCGATCAGCTGTGATTGGATCACATGACCAAGCCGACATATTCGGCTCTTTCCGTCGATCGGTGATCCGCTGTGTCCGAGGGACACAGCGCACCACAGATCGCTGCGCTGCGTCCTCCCAGAACAAGAGAACCGCCTTGTGCCCATCATTGTGCTATATGGCGGGCTGGAGGCGGTTAAAGATGCAGGAGATAAACAAAAAAAATACAAAATGTTTACTACAGGTTTAAAGCTGTAAAACTTGTTCACCAATATGAGTTTATTTTAGAAGTAGGCATTACACCCTGTTCAAGAAACAAGCTCACTTTGTCTACCACCTCTTTAACCTCCCCATTAAACGGTAAATTATTAATCAATACAGATCTTCATTGCATACAAATTAGTCTTCTTATGGATAGAGCCTGTCCAGGGTCCAGGAGTGGTTTTATTTCTCAGCATTCTGGTGGTTTTGTGACAAATTATGCATACATCTGTTTAACCAGAGAATAACATCTCTGCGTAGCTTAATGTCTTTTTTTTTCGCTGCCTAAGCCACTGCACAGGCAATTTTTCTTACAGAAGCTGGAATACTATAATTATGGGCAAGAACTTTGCAATTTCATGGTGCCTTTTTAAATTGGAGCACACACTATAAGAAAATCTGAAGAAAAATGATGTACAAGGAACAGTCGTATAGTGCGTACCAGGGGCAGACTGACCATTTGGAAACTCGGGCACTGCCCGAGGGCCCGGGGTCAGTAGGGGGCCCCATGAGATGCCCCTGGTACCTTCTTCATAGGCTTTTTTGAGTTTGGGCAAGGACACAGGGGCCCCATGATCCCCTATTGCCCGGGGGCCCCATGAGTTGTCAGTCCGCCCCTGGTGTGTACACATCTTTTGACATCCGATACAGACCTTTCAAACAAAAAATTTCAGAAGGGACACACTCCAAAATTTTTCTCATTCGTTAACTATTCGTTAAAAATTTGTTAACGATTTTTGTTTAATGTGTACTGTTTTTGTACGTGAAAAATCGGATACAAAAGACTGTGCAAGATCAAAAACAATAAACAAGAATAATCTACACTACAACGTTTCTACGTCAAACAACAAAAAGCCTTTGTCATTCGAGAATGTAATTTTCATATAATTAAAGCCATCCTTGGGTTTGACTTGCTGTGAAACATCGAGAAAACTGGATAATAGTTCGCCCGATTTTCTTAAAGTGTGTACCCTACTTAAATCTATCACAAGCACTTAATCTTGATGTATAATATCTCAAGCTCTTGAAAGTAAGAAGTGCATATACAGTATATTGTACATACACTAAATTGCCAAAAGTATTTGGACACCCCTCCAAATCATTGGATTCAGGTGTTTGGGTCACTCTCAGGAGCTCAGTGAATTCAAGTGTGGTACCGTGATAGGTTGCCATTTGTGCAATAAGTCCATCCGTGAAATGTCCTTGCTATTATATATTCCACGGTCAACTGTTAGTGGTATTGTGACAAAGTTGAAGCACCTGGAAACAAAAAGAAAAAACACTGTTGCCCCACGTCCCATGTTGTGAATATCCTGCCCATATGGGAAAGCTCACGCATTGATTTATGCTATATATAAAGGAGGGTATTCTCGGTTTGATTAGCTCTGAGGAAGAAGGGATCACTCTTCGAAACACATCAGCTTCATCCTGGGAGTCTCCCCTCTTGATGTGATTGGAACGTGTCTCCTATTCCAGTGCTTTGATGTTGGATTTTATATGCCTTAATTATTGCTAATTTTGTGAGTATATATCTCGATTCAATAAATTCACCCTTTGATTACTGAGGTAATGCGCAAGGTTGGTGCGCTTTTGTTTTTGTTCTTCATTACAGTTTCTATTGGGCTTCCCCAGCCTTGTGATAGAGCTGCACAACCTTTGATCGGTTATTGGATGAACTTTCATATATTGTTCCACCCGTCGATTTCTGATCTGGGTCTCTGAGCGCAGGAGGTGTTGTATTTGATGCCAGTGGATGTGTAGCAAATATACAGTTACATACTCCAGGTAAACTTCATTAGCAAGAATATTATAAAATCAAACAGTCTCACCGCTAATAATGATAGCAATTAGTACAATCATATGAATAGTACGAGATAATTTAGCATGTTATGTCTGAGGAAGTAAACTGTAAACTTAAGGCATGCTCAATAAAAAAGCCCAAGGGTAAGCAGATAAGTAGTCACCTTGTGAATACCTAGCTATAAAATAAAATTACTCCAAGTGGTGAAAGATATGTTAGGCTCATTTATCATGTTATACTCTACACAAATAAACATCCTTGTGTTAAAAATGTAAAATCAAGAGGCACTAAGTAACATCAGTAATAAAATGCTGCTGCACTACAGGGAATATGTAATTAGTTTACTGTTTCTGACTCATGAAACACATTTATTTTACAGATAGCATATAATTCACAGCTGAATAAAGTAAAAAAGAGCTGAGCAGAGGTCAGTTTAACAGCACAAAACAAAAGCACAGTCAAAAATAGATAATAGATAAAACTCAGGGGATTGTATTAACTACCACAAAAGAAATGATTTAGCTACTGAACTCTAAAGTAAAAGGTCTTAAAAATCTGATAAGGTGGTTTATTGATTTTTTTGTACACTTTTATAAACATTTTAGGGGTCAGGATGCAAATGGCAAAAGTGCTAGTTTACTTACATTTACTATTTCATATGATTGCAAAATCAATAGCACATCATTTTGTATATATCATTATAAAAGCCATATTAATCCTGTTAGGAATTAAACATAGAATATATTGTTTGGCTGTAACAGATCTTATTTCTCCAGCTATTGACATATTTTCAGTTTGTATCAGAAAAAATATTATATTACATAAAAATGTATCTTGGTGAAGATTATTATTATTTTATACAGTATATAAAATATTATTACATTGTTAGGATTGGATCTTGTGGTTTTATGGGGATGGGGTTACAACCTTGACTTCCCCTAAATATGCTAAATTTTAATCCTATCCTCAGATACATGTATAACTTGCACCACATACTTGAAAGCTGGTGTTTTGAGAGGGTCTTTGTTTTTTTGGATTAGCCCACTTTGAAGAACCCATGCGAAGCTGAGGTGCTCAATAACATGAGGGTAGCATACATTAAAAATAGGGAAAATACATAATCTAATGAGATTTTCCAAGATAAAGTAGAAGCATGGATAATTGATCTTGCATAAATAACTTGTAATAAAGGATTCTACAAGTAAAAAACTCTTGTAGAATCTTTTCACAATCTTTTCCACCAGTTTTTTTGCAATCAGATATTTTTTTACTGCCTGAAATATTTGGGGCTTTTTAAATGATGAGAAAAGGGCTGCTGCTTTTGATGTTTTTTCACCCCAAAAAAATGCATCAGAGAGCAAAGGGTCAGTAGCCAGTTTTGCCTGCGGTCTCTGGTAGGCATATCTTTCCCCATTACTGACTTACTTTGCTTTGTTTGACACTGTGTCTCTGTGTAGGGGTGGCCATCTTTTTAGAGGCAGGGCTTTGCTTCCTGATGTCAGAAACATCCCTCCAACAAAAACAATAGTAAGCAGCACAGTAGAGGCATCACCAAATCTTATTCCAAATCTTGTTAGAATGGCAGTCAGAGGCAGCAGTACCTTAAATTGCATACTGCAGATATAATGCTATGAGTCTGTAGGCAAAGCAGTATCTAGGCACCCTCACATACCAGGCAGGACAATGTTATTTTTCAGGAGGGATTAAAGACAACAGGTACATTTTTTCAGTGTAGCAAACAATTCATGTCTCTAATTGTTCTCTATAACATACTGGAACAAATCTTCACTTTTTGAATTTAGTTCCACTTTAAGCACAATCCCTTCATTACATTCATAGGCTAGACAAAAAAATGTAAACACTACATGATTTGTAGGTGTCAAAGAGACAGCATGTGGTTATGAAGACATTTACAGTTTCTGGGAAAACATTGTCTGATAAGTATAATCGTAGTCGACATGTTCAACTGGCCAAAAGAGACTAAAGGACATTACACAGGACTGTGACCTGGAATAAGCTCAATCTCAGTCTCGTGGAGTTAAAATCAAACTTCTGCTCATCTAAGCCTTACATAGTCCATGTCATGGAAAAGTTCTTTGATCCAGGTAATGTTCCTCTTTAAGAAATAGCAGCAATTTAAAGGTCCACCATATAACAGCAGTCTGTTATACACACTTCAGCAGTCTCTGACTTTATAGTTTAGATCAGCTTTGTAAGCTCACTCACACACACTCATTTGACAGACTAGCTTCCCCTTTTAAAGATAAGGTCCCGCTAAGCAAAAGCATCAGTGGTAAAAAAAAAAAAAATCAAGCATGTTTGACTCAATTTGGAATCCACTAAACTCTGCCTGTTAGGATTTCAAGTGAAACTAGCCCCAATACAAATTTTATAAATAACATTTAAAACATAGGTTTCTTTATCACAAGAACCTACTGGTCTAACCCTAAAATGAATATTTAGGAAACCATGGAGCCACATACCTTTCATCATACACTTTTCCAGAAAACAGATGTTTGTAGCCACAGTGTTATTTTATATAAACTTGACACCATGGAAACCATGGGCAAAAATAACTAGCATCTAGGGGTGGTATGAACAATGCAACAAAAAACAGGTGGCTTACTGTTGATTTTGTATAATATTATTTTGCTAGCTTTTAGAAATATGATATCAAACATCAAAAACAAATTTTAACATAAAATATTGCCACAACGTTTGTCTACAGTGATGTCAGGGACAGCATGGAAAACAATCAAGAGACTAATACCATATTTCTTGCTATTGTGTATTATTCTTCCTGTGAATAAGGTATGTTATGCTGTGGTAAATTATGTTATTTTAGCAGGTCTCAGAATTTCCACTCACCTGCTCGCATTTGGTAAGTGGAATTAATGTGGGGGCAAGTATGTCCCAGTATCAGAGGGAGCAGACGGGTCTCCTCTGAGGTAAAAAAAAAAAAAAAAAAAACTGAGATGCCGTCAATATGTGAAGGAGGACATGTCCCTTTGTCCCTCTTCTCTCTGCACAAGAAATGACTGGGCATGCTAAGCTGTCAGATTTGGCAATAGGGAGCCTTGGCTAAGCATTTCAGTTCCCGCACTTAGTTACCATACAATGCATTGTGGAGAATGGAGTCCTCGAGGTGCTCTCTGTACACTCCTCGGTCCTTATATGGACTACACTTACCAGAACAGTGTGCAGCACGGCTTCGGTTGGAAGCTGCAGGGCTCTTTTTATCTGCTCACAGAGCTGCTGGACCTGCTAACATGGAGCTCTGGGGGACAGGGAGCTGTGCCACCCTCCGTAGTCTTGTGGTGAATAGGGGAGAGATCTGGTGGCAGAGGGTGGTGGTGGAGGCTGGTGGCAGAGAATTGTCCTTATGGGAGATGAGCTCCCCTAGCATGGAGAGAGCCATGGAGCAACCCAATTGTCTCACCTGATCCCTGCGGAGAGCTCGCACCGTTGAGCTGCCTGAAGGTGGCTTCTCTATTATCAGTGCATGAGGGGCCAATTGTGCACTATACAGGGACCTGGGATGCCCCAATATTCCCACTCTTCTGTCATGGAATGCAGTAGAACAGTTATTTTTTAGTACAACCAAAGGAACTAATTTTTTCCCATTCGATCCCTCTCAGGTTTTTTTTTGCCATCCGTGTGCCGTTGGGGAGATTTCTATTAACTTCCTGTCCAATAGCCAAAGAGGAA